CCATCATCATCATCATCATCATCATCATCATCATTATTATTATTATTATTGTTGCTGTTGTTGCTGTTGTTATGTTGTTGTTGTTGTTGTCTAAGGAAGGTTCCGGGGTTAGGTTGACTTTAATTCGTTTTCACCTTTTTTTTTAGTTGCTTGCGAAAAGACTACAAAATATTTAAACATTATAAGTATGTATGTGTGTAAGTGCGTTTTTGTATACGCGTGCCTGTGTGCACGTGTGTGCCTGCGTGCGCATGTGTGTGCGCGTGTGTGTATTTGCGCTCGCATGTGTGTGCGTGCACGTGTGTGTGAGAGAGGGAGAGAGAGTGAGAGAGAGAGAGAGAGAGAGAGAGAGAGAGAGAGAGAGAGAGAGAGAGAGAGAGAGAGAGAGAGAGAGAAAGAGAGCGATTTGTTAAGCCAGAGTGTAAACACAAATTAGTATACACAGACATGTATACGACATGGCATTCACAAATACATTCGTACAAGATAAATTGTTAACACGGGCCCTTCCTAAACGATACTCGCGAAAACAGTAAATAATAATAATCATCATCGTCATCATTATCATCATCATCATCATCATCATCATCATCATCATCATCATCATCATCATCATCATCATCATCATCATCATGCAAGATTGGTGGTGTTATCATAATTTTAAAAATCTCTTGTGGGTGATGGGAGGGCACCACACTGCTAAGTCTTGCTTACTGCTTACTTTTTTTCTATCCCTGTCGTTTTTGTCTATCTACATTACTCTTTCCTGTGCAATAAATAAACGTTGTTGTGTCTATTTGCTCATCTGTATTCAAACAAAAAAAAAACAAATGCTCCCATCGACCAGTGGCGGTGGGTGGACCAAAATTTGGGTGGGGCTTAGGTTGCTTCCAGTTCTTGACCACCAAATAGCAAGCAATAAGAATTAAATAGTGATGATTTGTCTATACCCACGGTAAGCCACGGCAGTTTGAGAACCATTCAAACGAGAAGAGTTGCCTTTGTTTTCCATCTCTTTGTTCTTAGTTAAATTCTTGTTGATGGTGGGGACGAAGCCGATTCACCTCCAAATTTCCTCTAATTAGTTTTCGTGTGATGAAAACGTTGCCTTACAAGTAGTTCGACCAGATTTATAACTGTTAAATCTCAGCGGGCCAAACACAAACATGCTCACACAGCACTTCAAACATTATACTTCTATGAGCTGGATTAGGCCGTGTAGTCGAGAAAGTTGAACGCACCCAACAAAGAACCAATGAGCGCATAGGTATCTGTGTCAGTGGGGGAAAGTGTGTCGTAAACTTTCACCCCATTGTCAGGGCTAGGAGAGCGTGAGCCCTCGGTACAGTGTTATTTTTTCCCAGTCTTCTACCTTTTTACAAGAAGAGTTTCATTAAGGACGGGCTGTGGGAAAAGGGCTGATCTTTGCTTAGCCCTAAAGACATTTGATTGGCTTCTGGGATACTATAGTTGTAAGCGGTGACAACAGTGATTGGATAAGCGAGCAAGTCGCAAAGTTGATCACTCTGCGTTCATTGCGAGCGGTCATAACGGTTTTAACAGCTAATTTCATTGTGGAGAAACTTTCATTTACTTTGGGATAGAGTTGGGAGGGGTAGGGGCTCAAGCCCGTGAGCCCTTCACTACCCACCGCCACTGCCATCGACACAATATTTAGTCCGAGGTCGGCACTATCTGTAACGGCCAATCCTGTCTGAGTGGGAACGAAATCCCAGTGTGATTGGGATTAGGGATGGGAGACGAATAACGATGACAAGTAGTTCAACTGTTCTAAGGCCAGAACGTTTTTTTTTTCAAGAATCGTACCTAAATTAAGAAGGCCTATCTTTTCCTGTTAAAAAAAAAACATTTAGAATTTGAATTTCAACAATCTAGGCTATTTCTCGAGCACATGCAATCGACACCACATAAAAGGTGCTATTAATTTAAGAAAATTACTTAATGTTGGACTTAGAACATGAACAGCTGGACGATGATGAACTGCTCGGTACATCTCCCGTACGTGGAGATCGAACTATGTTATGGGGTTATCCTTCAGAAACACTCCCACTTTGCAGAGAGAACCTTCATAAATAGGGTAGTTTCGAAAAAGATGCAGTGGTAATACACTGTATTCGAAACCTAATCAGTAAATTGACGTGCAACTTTAAATGTATCCGCACAGACTTGTGGACTTAACCCTTCTAAAAACGATATATGCACGTTATGCACTTGAAACTACAATAGCTGTGTTTTGTTTTTGTTTTTGTCTTTTGTTTTTATTTTAATCTGCGCTGCGGAAGAGTCATTAGAAAATACGAATAAGTTTAAAATCTACTGAAAAAAAAGAAAAGAAGTCTCACATGCCACCCTCAAAATTTGGGCTCCTGTAACTGTGACAACTAAAGGTAAAGAGGAATGATAACAAAACTGACCTGTAAGTTCTGGTGAGAGTTTTTTCTGCACTTGCAACACAAACAGGTCACAACCAAAGAAAAGAAGTAGGAAAGACATAGATGTTAGATGCTTGATAGGAAAGAAGGAGAAAATCATACTGAAGCACCAACTGACCACCCACTAAAATTGACCTGATCATAAAGCTTAAGAAAAGCCTCCTCATGACCAGAAACAAGGTGCGGACATGCTAATTTCTAGATACATAATCTCGCTCGAGATCCTGACCTCACTTACAGTGACTAACGTCCGGATCAGCTGCTGGGAACTGTTGCAAAATCGTAGCAAGTGACAACGTCTACGTAACGTAACAGTACACTAGGAGTGGCTCCCAGGTAACAATTAATTAGATCTACAACTTAGACTTAACCATGTACAGTTTTTTTACTTCCTAATCAGGAATTATGTTTAAAAAAAGCGCATGTTCTTCTGCACTGCACGTTTTATTCACATTCGCTGGATTCGCATTAGAAGGTTAGCGCCCCCCCCCCTCCCCCCGGGTTATTTCAACGAAACGGCCTACAGGCAACAATCATTGAATTCATCCATCAACCTCGAGACGATCTCCAAACCAGAATTTCCCATTAACTCACTGACTCATCTACTTTGCTGGATTCGAGTATTAAGGTAAGGAACCCTAAGGGTTAGGGTAAAGGTATGGTTTTAAAGTAGGCTAGGGTGTCATCTTACCCTAATACTAAACTTATTAGGCCCAACCCGAATCCAGCAAATGTGGAGAAAACATAAAGATTTGGGAAAATCTCCAACTTTCTCGAATGGAGTTTGAAAGGAAACGTAGGGGCCTAGATATTTAGATCTACATCTAGATTAATCTAGATGTTTAGATCTACTCTAGAATCTAGATCAGAGGCCGTTGTTCTTGATTAAGACTGGATCTCTAGATCTAGATCTAGATTATCTAGATCTAGATTCTATATGTAATACACGTATTCTAATCTAGATAGAATTTAGATCTATTAGGTCAAGCTTGATTTTTTTTTTTACAAAGTAAAGAGAGCTGGGATTCAAGATCTCAGATTACAAAAAGGATAATGGGTCCTTGTGTCCCCCATCCCCTGACCTCTCTTTTTCAACGAACAGGCCTACAGCCAACAATGGACTTAATTCACCTTACATCAACAACGAAACCTGACCTCCAACCCAGCATTCCCCCTTAACTCAATGACTCACAATGACTACATCTATAACTATAATGTAGGACGTAGATCTCTAGATCAATATAACGTGGGAACCGACGCAATCGCCCTATCTCAACTACAGAACACCTTTCATAGATCGTGTCTGTATCGAAAACTTAACGACCTGGAAACTGCCAATCAAAATCATGTGTAAGTTTGTGATTACGTGTGGTCGTGAACTTGAACCTCTTCTCTTTGTTGACAGACTTTGACAGGGTTCAACAAGACCAAACAAGCTCTAGATAGATCTAGGCTATTATTGCATAAGGGTTAAGAGAAAGGGACATTGGAAACAAAACAAAACCAAAAAAGAACTGAAAGAAAATGAAAGAAAACTTCATAAACAAAGACAGAAATAACTCACTCACATGTCAGAAGATCACAGGGACCTACACACTCCATCTGTCTTGCGACGAGACAGCAGAATAAATTCACTGGCCGAGAATATTCACGATTGTTTCCTCTTCCTCACCGGCTCTTAGAAAATACTTTTCCTCCTCTCGCGAAGGTGTGTACTACACGCACTTTCCAACACTACCTTCTGTTTCGTGGGTTGACTGTCAACTTTAGAGAAGCAGAAAGTAGAAGGTACGAGGACTAGGCAAGGCAGAGAGGACTGCAAGCTGTGCCCCTCTCACTTCTCTCAACTGGCCGATGAACGAAAGCCGAACGACACGACAGGTAGGAGAGTGGTGACAAGCGCCGCGCGACTTGGTGGCCCGCTCGGTGTTTGGCAGACACTGACACAGCACGAGTGGGGCTACACAGCACACACTGGCACAGGTTTCGGACGAGAGCTGAGAGCAGTCGGAGAGAGGGGGACCATAGACGTATTGCGTACTCTGCAAGTGTGGACCGACAATTGCTCGCTGTGCACAGGAAGTGGAGTTCAGCAGAATAAGCACGCAACTTCGCTAAGGCTGAATCTACCTTCAGTCGTATTCGCGCGGTTATTATTAGCAATACATAATGTTATGTATTGGTTTGTTTTTAAAAAAACCCAAAAAAGTTATGTCGGGATATCCATTTCACTTTTGGGTTGGGTTGTTTTTTTGGTTTGTTGTTTTGTTTTGTTTGGTTGATTGTTGTTTTTTCCTTTTTTTGTCTTTTATGTCTGCAGTGTTTAGTTGTTTTTTTTTGTAAATTGGGGTGTTTTTTTGCGTGTGTGGGAGGGGAGGGGGGTCCACTGGAAGCCCACTTGGAAAAACACATATTATGTAGATTTAAAGACCAGAAATAGCACTAGAAGGTGCAATGGAATTGTTTCTGGGATAATCTAAAGGCGCACCACCAGTTCAGTTGGTTTTAGGCTATAGTGCTGGGCTGCGATGCAAATGATCCTGGTTTGAATGCTTAGCACCGCGTATTTGAACTGCTTGGTGATATTCATAGCTCCACATCCACTTGACTTGATTTTTCTCTTTGTGTGTGTGTGTGTGTGTGTGTGTGTGTGTGTGTGTGTATGTGTGTGTGTGTGGATGTGTGTGGATGTTTCACGCTTCCATCGACAAAATTTAAATCATAGTGTAGGATCTGGTGTCGACCTTACCTGTTAAGATCAGCCTGGACAGAGAGGGATATATTTATAACATTCCAAGTGAAGGACTGAGATATTCGTTGATTATTCTCACCACTTGGGACTCAAACTCGGGTCTCATGTGTACAACGGCAAAATGTCTAACCGTTACACTACAGACGCACAATATGGTTTGATCCTATAAGAGATCAAAATTAAATAGAAGGTTCCCGTCTCTTAGAAAACCTTAAA